GTTGAAGTAGTTAATGTGTATGTACGACTGTACGTATATATTATTAAGTTATTTTATTTAACTATCAAATACTAAATTATCTGATACAAGGTTGTTTTAATTTATCATGCTATTTAAAGTTTAAGTCTTATTTAAAGATAGATCTTTGTTGAACTTTAATATGACTCAGGGTGTCAAAAAAGTTATTTTATTTATAAATTCATACGATATCTTTTAAAAAATTATTAGATATGTTAATGTATCATTAGACTATCTATATTCCCATGTTTTCTGACATAAATTTTTTTAACTAAACAGATATAAAGAAAAATAATGACATTTTTAATAAGTTGGAACTAAATATATACTTTATTACATTTAGTTTTTTTTATATTTAAATTTCCATTTTTATAAACAAATGTTAACTAAATGTTTATTAATTTCTGAAAAATTATAAAAATAACTTAACTGAATATTTTGGTCTCTATACTTTATTCTCTGTGCAATTTTTTTATTTTTAATTATCTATACTTAATTTTTTAATTTGTAAATATTTAAATTAAAATTTTCATCTTAAAATAAAGATTTTTATTATATTTTATATATTTTATTTTTCACTTTTATTTTAATATATATATATATATATATATAAATCATCCATATAAATTAATAAAATATTGCACTTCTATTATTACTTTTATTAATTATGTACGGAGAAAAACTTAATTTTACCACTTGAAAACCTTTTTTTTTTTTTAATTTGGTACAAGTAATTAATAATTTAACAAATTATTATTATTATTATAAAATGTTTCGAATGGTTTTGATTTTTCTATAATTCTTAGCATATTGTAGAGGATCCTAAATCATAGTCTTTTTCATTTTCAAGTAATTGATAAGGATTTCATACATTGTATAATTAAAAAAAAACAAAAGAATTTAAACATTTAATATAAAAAATAACTCAAATTAAAAACTGTGAAAGACAATCATTGATTGCCCTTTCATTTCCAAGTAATGAGGCCACATATTTCTATCTGCAAAAACGAGGGCAGATATTTTTAAATCCTTCGCTGCATTAAATATACGCTCTAAGCACTCGCGTGAATCGCGAGGAAGGAAAATCTTTTAACATTAAAACTAAAGAATTTGCACCATTTTTTTGGTTACATACATAAAAGAAAAATGCATCTGCAAGAACTTCTACTGTTAAAAAAATGAACTAAGTGGTATAAATTGAAATTCATCTACAAATAATAAGTTAAATAAAATTCTGACAATGTCTCAACATAATTTTGATGATCAATTTTTTTGATAATAAGTTACAATTTAAACACTTGTGACTAATTATACATAAAAGATTGAAAAGAATTACTTGGTCCTTAAGGGAAAAGAATTAAATAATGAAAATGGTGTCCGCGATTGGTGTTGTGGCGCGTGAGAGAAGCGAACAGATTCTGCGTCCTCCTTCGTTATTGGGCCAGCCATTTCCCCGTTCAACGAGTACCCTTCTCTTGTCTTGTCCCCACCCTATCGCTGCAATCCACATGCTCTCTTACTTGCCCTTCTACTTAGTCTCACGTTTCAATCTTCTTTCCCTTACCCTCTTTTTTTTAATTTTATTTTTATTTTTCAATCATCCCATATTCTCTACGTTTAACAATTCACAATTCACAATTCACATCCCTCGAAGATATTATTTGCCACCTAATCTCCATTGATCATTATCATTATTTAATATTTTTAATTAATTTAATCCAATCTCTCACCCTTAGTGTCTTTATAAGGTCCACGTTCACTGCACCCTTTCACAACTCCCTTGTTCCTCTTCTTTCTCTTTCTCAATCTCAGGCAAATGGGTTCTACTAGGTTGTTCGCGCTGCTATTCATGTTCATGGCGGTTTCATCGGCCTTGGACATGTCGATTATCTCGTACGACAAGACTCACCTAGACAAGTCCACTCAGAGGACCGACGAGAAGGTGATGACCATGTACGAAGAGTGGCTGGTGAAGCACGGCAAGGTCTATAACGCTCTTGGGGAGAAGGATAAGAGGTTCGAGATCTTCAAGGACAACCTACGGTTCATCGACGACCACAATGCTGAGAACCGTACCTACAAGTTGGGTCTGAACAGGTTCGCTGATCTAACCAACGAGGAGTACAGGGCTGGATACTTGGGAACCCGGATCGATCCCAACCGGAGGATGGTTAGGACGAGGAACAAGAGCAACCGTTATGCGCCACGTGTCGGTGACAAACTTCCGGATTTTGTTGATTGGAGACAGGAAGGTGCCGTTGTCCCAGTCAAGGACCAAGGAAGCTGCGGTAAGTAGTGTCTCACTCTGTGCATTAGGTCTTAACTCTTACGCTCTTACTTTACCCTCTATTTTTTTTAATCAAAGTTAAATTCTTTACTTCCTTCTTAATCATCGGTAATCGATTTTAATGTCTTTAGTATTTTTTGGTGTTTTTTCTGCGATTTATTTTTTTTACTTTTGCTCGACCATGGTGCGCGATCTATGGATATCTAAGAAAAATAAATTTAAGATAATAAATTTAATATGTATTTTTTATTTTGTCCCTTCAGAAAAGTAATTGATTTTTTCCTTGTAGATTTGAAACTTAAATACAAGTTATTTCTTTCGCTTTTAATTTTGGGAATACCCTTTTTTATTTTTATGACAGATTTGTTCCTATGATTACATGATTCAGTTATGATTAATTGATTCTTAATTTGAATTTGGTATTGTTGGTGCCTGTGGAACTTGCACAAAGAAATGGTCTATGTGGGATGTGATGATTCAATATGATAAAAAAAAGGGCTTGTTCTTTGGATTTAAATATTTTGTTTACGTTTCGAATATAATATTTTGGCAACAAAACATAGGTGCGGTGGGAAAGTGGGTATAAACGGACTGGGGCCAATATGATGACCCATTACAGTTGATAATGATATATCTCTGACGCTGAACGTCGTCAGATTCCGGGTGTGTTCAATATAGTTAATGAAGCACCCAACTATTTAAATGGTTTATGTGTATCCGCACCTTTCGCACATTCTTCAGGACCCAGGAAATCTTAACATGTCAATCACTGATTTAGTTTCTTTGTCTTTCTTTATCTAACCATTTTTTTAAAAAAAATTTTGGCCGCCAAAGAATAGTGGTTGTTCTTTATTCTTGAACCTAAGTAAACAGTTAATAACAAGAAAGTCCCTTTATCCTAGGGTGATCTTAGTCTTTAATTATAACAGAGCAAGTAGCAGAATAATTATTCAGTTTTTGTAGCTGTATTATTACAATTTTACGAGTTTCGGACAGTGATCTGAATGTAGAGAAGCTCTTAATTTTTATTTTTTGTACTGTACAAACCTTGCCTATTTTCATATTATTCTAATGTCTGAATTTTTTGTATGAAGGGAGCTGTTGGGCATTCTCAGCAATTTCTGCAGTGGAAGGAATAAACAAGATAGTGACAGGTGATCTAATTTCATTATCAGAACAAGAGTTGGTGGATTGTGATACATCATATAACCAAGGATGCAATGGTGGACTCATGGACTATGCCTTTGATTTCATCATCAATAATGGTGGCATCGATTCTGATGAGGATTACCCTTACCGTGGTGTTGATGGTAGATGTGATCAATATAGAGTAAGTCTAGATTATTTGATGATAATAAATGGTTGTCAAAAAGTAGTTACCACTTCTAATTCTTACATTCATTTTTTTTTCGCGCGTGTGCAGAAAAATGCTAAAGTTGTTGTAATTGATGACTATGAAGATGTTCCTTCTTATGATGAGTTAGCCTTGAAAAAGGCTGTTGCAAATCAGCCAGTGAGCGTAGCTATTGAAGGAGGGGGCAGGGAATTTCAGTTATATATATCGGTAAGTTTCTAAACGAATTTTGTTCATGCACTAATGTTGTGCTTCTTGCATAGAAGTAGAATGAATAGTCAAAAACTACCAAAGCATATATTATAACTAACAATCCATTGTGAATGTGTTATATTGTGTTTGGGGGTGTGTTCTAGCCCGCCAAACGTTCCTAAGTGAGATTGTGTAAAACTAAAAAGAATCATATTTGGATGTGTCAACTCAAAATTGATCTAAGTCCTAAAAGCAAGTTTTGAGTGGAAATGAAAAAATGTGACTTTTGCATTAAGTTGAAAATTTCACACAATTTTACTACAAACTTGTTTTTGATATAGAAGTTTCTAAACATGAAACACTTCACTCCAAACTCACTGTACATTTGATAAAAACCAGTATCATATGTTGATCAATCGTGTATCAACTGGTTTTGCTCTGGCTAATTGTTATCTTCAGTGTCATTCTGTATAGAATATTTACATTGTATTGACAGAATTTTCTTATTACTGTATTTTATTTATATCTTGTTAGGGTATATTTAGTGGGAGATGTGGGACAGCACTAGACCATGGTGTCGCGGCTGTTGGGTATGGTACAGCAGATGGTCATGATTACTGGCTTGTTAGAAATTCGTGGGGTACTAGCTGGGGAGAGGAAGGCTATATCAGAATGGAGCGAAATTTGGGTACAAGTAGATCAGGGAAGTGTGGAATTGCAATTGAGCCATCTTATCCCATTAAGAAGGGTCCAAATCCCCCAAATCCTGGACCATCACCTCCTTCACCTGTGAAGCCACCAAATGTTTGTGACAACTACTACAGCTGTTCTGACTCTGCTACTTGTTGCTGTATTTTTGAGTTTGGAAACTCTTGCTTTGAGTGGGGTTGCTGTCCTCTTGAGGGTGCTACCTGCTGTGAAGACCACTACAGTTGCTGCCCCCATGACTATCCCATCTGCAACATTTATGCAGGAACTTGCCTCAGGGTATGACTAAGGCTACTTAATCTTTTCTATTTGGTTTCATTTTAAACTGGATTTTCAGTTGGAACTAATCATTGGCTACTATTTTAAGGCCTGTTTGTTTTTCGTATATGTTTTCGATTTTCTTTTTTAATTGCAAGAATGTCATGTTTGTGTAGAAACTGATTTTTGGAATCACTGTTTCCTATGTAAATACTTAAAAGAGGAAACATAATGAATGTCATGTTTGTGTAGAAACTGATTATTGGAATCACTGTTTCCTATGTAAATACTTAAAAGAGGAAACATAATGAATGTCATGTTTGTGTAGAAAGTAGAAACTGATTATTGGAATCACTGTTTCCTATGTAAATACTTAAAAGAGGAAACATTATGAAAATGAGGTGAATTTTTTTTAAAATTGAAAGTGTATATTATAATATTTTTTCAAACCAGATATACTCTTATATTTTGGTGGATGTTGAAGTCCCTTTGCATTATATGTTCTCACTAAACAACTACATGATTTTTTTATTTTATTTTTCGCTTATCTGAATTTTGTTTATATTGTAGAGCAAGAACAACCCATTTGGAGTTAAGGCATTGAGGCGAACCCCAGCTAAACCCCATTGGGCCTTTGGAGCTAATAACAAGGTTAAGGGTGCTTAAATTGTTGAAGGGAATGTGTACGTGTAGGAGCTGACGACAAAGTCAAGGGAAGAGGAAAGACTAAAACACCAGCTGATACACTTCCCTTTTTACTACATTCATGATACTGCACGTAACATGCATTTCTTCTCCATTCTATGATACAAACAGATACATTCTGTGTCAAATTTCCGTAAGACATTGGCCGTGTACATATGGTTATATTTACGTACTGTATTTGTATTCAAATTCCAAACAGCGAAGCTATTGACTGCTGTTAGGTTACAACTTCTGTAGATTATATGATTGCTATGAAGCAATGATTGGATTTATCCAATATTGAAATGCTACTTTATTTACTTCCTATGTTCGAGTAACCAGACCCTCCTCCCATTACTCTTCTGCATTCTATGAGAACTGCTTTAGTTTTGTAGGTGTTTGTTGATTTAACAAAGTAACTTTTGACAGAAAATAATGTTGTAAACATGTTGGTACTAAGTTGAAAGAACCATATGGGGAACAAAGTAATATAATATGGTGCTTTTGTGGTAGCCTTTTCTTCTTGTTGAACTTAGGTACTTGTGGGTGTGCTTCGACGAAATCGGTGGTGTGTGGGCTTTTGTATTGGGTAGAAGGAATCTCCGTAGGGTCTCTACGAGATGGATTCCTATTTTGATTTCTTATTTATGAAGGAACGATGTGACTAACCACTGCACTTCTTATTTTAGCCGCTGGAATCAGAATCCTCTCTATTATTATATTTTCATGGAAGCCAACTAGCGTGCAGATAGATAAACGGATATGAATCCCCTTGCATTTTGAAGGGTATTGTGGTTTGGGTTTGATTATATTTTAGATGAAACCCATCACCAAATTGTTTGTTTATTTACACAAGATTCTCATGACGTTTCTAAATTTTGCTTAATTATTTAGTTAGGCCCCATAGATGATAAAAAATTTGATATGATAACTTTTTATTATGATACCTTTTACAATAATGGGTGTCTTTAAGTAAATAATCTAATCAAATATTTTTTTAATAAAATTATTTAAAAAATTTAAATGCATTCTTCACAAACTGTTGTTCCCTAAATTTAGTACAAAAGTTATTTTTTATGCACCTAAACTGAGAACAAGGAAAACGAAATAAAAAGTAAATAGATAAAAATGTGTATATGAAAGTAGGGTATTCAGCTAATGTGCTTTGTATTACTGCCCCACCAATTAATAATGTTTTTATACGCTTAATAAAAATAATCATTTTTATTCTGTAGCATGTTTGATCTCTCTTGGTTGTTGGGAATAAAATATTTTAGTGGACTGATATTTTCTTTCTTTCTTTCTTTCTTTTTCTTGCTTATTCAAGCCATAAAAAGTTCCAACAATTTATTACGATTTAATTTCTATTTTTATTTTTACTTGATAAATGATATGCAACTGAATTCGGTTCTTCCCAAGTAAAAGAGTTGGCAGTGCGAAAGGCAAGGGACTTAGCTAACTTATGCTTCGCTATAAAAGAAAATAATTTTAAGTAAAAAGCTTTTAATTAAGAAATGTCTAGACACTTTTCAGACTATTAAATAAATTATAAAAAAAAAACATTTTTTCTCGTGATTTAAGAAAATAACTTTGAAATTAAAAGTATCATATGGACGCTTTAGAAAAGCTTAACCTAAAGTATCTTCAAAAATATAAAACAATCCCTACAAAGTTTCAAAATGCCATTACAATAAATATAAAAATTTTAAATTAATTCTATTAGTCACACTTGACAATTAAGCATTTCATTATTAGTTCATTCACAGCCAAATATTTTCCAGTCTAACACAAAAAAAAAAAAAACTAAATAATCTTTTGGGGGTAGAAAAGAAACAAATTAAAATCTGTCATTTTCATTTTAAACGCGTACGACTTGAATGGAATAGACCCCACTGTTGTCTCCCAATCTTTTACTCTTCCAAAGTTTTCATACTGTTTCAAACTCTTCCTTACCAACATCCCTAATCAAAATATCTCTTCGTTTTGTTTCAAAACTTTTTTCTTCTCTCAATTTCAATGGATTAATCAAGTGAAATAAGACAATTTTAAAATAATATATATTATGTTCAATTTTGATTCGTTTCTTTAGAGGTTTGAAAGATATTATGTTCTTGAATTAGTACTATGACATTTTCTCAAAGTTTTCATTATATTCAAAAGAAAGAAATTAACTTGTTAACCTATTTTTAAAATTGAAAAGGAAAATATCCTTTTTGATTTCTCAGAAAAAAGGGGGAAGGGAGGCATATGTCTCTTTACTATACGAAAGATAGGTGAAATTAAGGTTATTTTTAAGAATAAGAAGTAATAATGTATTTTCATAATTTATGAAATTGATAGGCTTATCTATCTTTATATATAAAAATTAAATCTTCATTTTTAAACAAGCTTATTTTTAAAAACTATTTTAAATGAATTTTTAAGAAATAATTTTCTTTCTTAATGTGTCATATATTTTTTCTTGTATTAAGTATTTAATTTTAATTTTTATAATTTTAAATTATGAAAATTCTCTCTTTAATTTAATATTTAAATATAATACAATATTTAGTATTAATATCTAAAATACTTACACATTTTTTTGAATTTATTAAAATTTCAAGTAATCATACACTATATATTTTATTTTTTTATTTTAATAATATTTTAATTTAGTAATATTTATATAGTGCATAAAAATCACTATTTTAAGATTATTTGATCTTATTCAAAGGTAAAATTAATTATTATTATTATTATTATTAGTAGTAGTAGTAGTGATCTAGACAACATTATTCTTCGTAAAGATTAAATTTATCTCAATTCAATTTTTCATGAAGTAAAATAAATGGGAAGTTAAGTTAGTTTAACCACTACCTTCCTCCAAAAAAAAAAAGGGTTCCATAGACTTGATAGCATTAGGAAAAATTTTAAGTGTGTTTCAAGTGTGTTTGGATGAAACATTTAAATGAATGATTCATTTTTTAAAGAATGAAAAAAATTTTAATTAAATTTTTTTAATATTTAATATTTAAAAATTTAAGAAATTTAGTAAAAAAAATTTTAATAGACTAAAATCAATTCATTATAAATCCTAATAAAAAATTGAAAATTGAAAATAACTTTTTCATTTATCGTATGTTTCATCCAGATTTTTATTTAGTTATGATTAATTTAATAATTTAAATTTCACATTTTTAGTTAATTTTATCAAATATAGTGATAATTTTGTTTTTTTTAATAAAATAAATATTTTAATTACTCTATTCAAACAAAAATATGTAGAATAAAAAAATTAATTATTCTATACAAACAAAATATTTCAAAATAATAAAAAATTTAAATGATATAATTTAAATTTCTTAAAATTTTAAATTCTTTAAAATTTGTAATCATCATCTTGCTCTTGATTATTTAAATAGGTATATGCTTTCTCTGTTGATGTTACAACAACATGAAAGTTAGTTTCAATCAGGCAACTTGGAGTAAATTCAATAATTTGAGGTAATGAAACATTGCTAAGCATGTCTTAGGTAGCTTGTTAATGGTTGTGGCCTTGTTGACAAAATTTAAGAAAGCTTTTCTCATGATAAGGATAGCATATTCATACCCAATGTTAACCAACTTAATATTTTTAGTTGTTTCCTTATGGAGCAACTCCAATAACCTTTTAATAGCTTGTGTATTTATAGCTAAAAAACAGTAGTGTTGGGGACCAGGGGCGAATAGTAATTGTCGTCTAGAACAGCTTATTGATGCAGACTTCAACTTTCTCTCTCTTATTTCATTTCGTTTTCAAGAGCAGCCAACAAAATGGAACACCACACTTGAGACGGATAGGCCTGACGTCTATCCCCACTTGCAATTTGCAGGATAAGTTGATCTTTTCTCCTTCAGGTCTTCATAACTTGGGGATCATAGCTTCTAAATAATGACTACAATTTCCACCCAAAAAAGGATAATGATTAGTGATTACAGTCATAGTGATTAACATGCAGTGAATCTATATTTTTATTAGAGTTATTTATAAGAATATAATTCTTTTGATGTTTCTTTATCTAATAATTAGCTTATATCTTGTTAGTTAATATCTTAAATACACTGATTAAGAAATTAATCAACAGTAATACAATGTTACAATACATTGCAAATTACATAAAAGAGTTTTTTTTTTATCACTGTACTCTTGAAACGAAGGTTAGCATTTTTCATTAGCTCTTGAGATTCAATTTAAGTTTAAAAGACTCTTGGGGTGACGAAATGTATAAGAAATATATTATTTATTATCAGATTTAACGCGTGTTCAATAAAATACAATAAAATTAATAATTTTTATTAAAATTATAACTTTTAAATTATTTATCTTTTAAATTATTTTATATCCTATAATTCTTAATAAAATCATCACACTTAGAAAACCCGTAATATTATTCATGTGTTTTCAGCTAATAATTTCTTTCTGGGTGGTTCGTTCATAACGCGAGTGAATCTCAATTGGTCATATCTATTTTCTTCTTTTGATTGTCAATTATTGTTCTGCTATGACCATTATGCAATCATTAAAAGAGGCAAAAAAATATCATCAACAGTTCACAGGCAACAACTTGGTTGCGAGGTGTTTAGGCAACATCAACGTCTTTTCACACATTAGAAAACGGTGAAACGTAATGCACAAATGCAGCAGCAGCAGATTATACTACCCTGCACTTATCTTTAGCATTAATGCGCAAAAGAGAAAGTAATTGTACATACCACATAGATATGCCCTTAAACATTCCACCTATACCTATGTGGTAGTACAGAAAGATAACCATCTCTTTTATAAACATAAAATTATCATAAGCTAACTACTAAAATGAAGGGTGTTTATGGTCATTCTTCGAAAGAGTTTCTCACAGACCCAATTCAAGATTTCATTGATGATTGAACTCTACATTATTTGTTTAGGACCACCCTACCTTTTTGTTCTGATCTCCATCATCAGCAATGTGAAATATGCATTCCTCAATCTTCACTTTTTGGCATGTGCTGTTGCTCCTATTGGTTTCATGAACTTGAGTGGGATTGTGGGAAGAAGTTACTGATGGAAGCTTTGATAGCAAAGCTCCAAGACTGCAAGACATGTTGGGCAAAGAAGGTGGAGCTGACCAAAGAGGTGTCACTGTTGTTGTTCCATTCTGTGGTGGTGGATTCCTACCCAAGTTGATGGAAAAAAAGCTTGATCTTTCATCACAGACTTTGGTTACTTGGTTGGTATTATAGGCAGATAGAGTCATTTCATTGCTTTCCATCATTTGGAGATTGTTTTTGACAATGCATGGATGATGTTGAATGGGTAGATGTGGTCTTTGAATGGAAAATACACCTGGTATGCTGTGTAGGTAGCTGAACTTCCTTTGTATGTTGACCACTAAATTGAGATCTTCAGCAATCTGAAGAACCCTTGAGTTAATAGTAAGTTAAGATTTTGAACAAAATGTACAAAATATTTGGACAGAAAGAGCAAGACCTTGTTAAATGAACCCAGTTGTACTAAGCCTTCTCTGACAGCAATGACAGCAATTGTCTAGGGATAATAATTTCATAGCATTAGTGAGATCAACTTAGACAATTTTTTTAATATTAACTTTTCTTTTTACACAACATGTTTCTGAAGCAGCTATCAAACAACTGCATAAAAAAAAACATGTTTTGAAGCTTTTTGTCTTTTCTTTCTTCTTGTGAATGAATTTACTAACCTGAATACCTGAATTTAACTGAAACTCCCACGTCCTTGGTTGCTGTCAAAATATATATGTAATAAAAAAGCGTTTTAGATTTATGTAAAGAGGACTATACTCAAAGTGGGACAGAACGTGAAGAACATTTTGCACTTATTTCTTTTCAGCGTCAGCTACTTCCCTTACATGATCGATTGTAGCATTCCACGCACCAATGTAATTATTTTCACTCCCGTTTGGAGTGTCACTGTAAACCCACTTGTGACTATTATCTGCTGCCACTTTCCCCAATAGTCTGCAGAAAATAGATATCAAATAAGATGTGAATTTTCTAATACTACACGTTTCAAAACACAGGAAAAGTTTAACATTTTTCCATCTCTTTGATTATAGCAATATATAATGTAGAAGTGGAGCAATGTGAATCTCACTCACCCCTCTCCATAACTGTAAACTTCATGAGACATTTTGAAGAATACATCAGCTCCAAACCTGTTGTTCAAGTATCCACTCCTCCCTTGTTCGCATTCATTAAGATCGCAGAACCCATCTTCCCATACAAGGATCCTAACAAAGAAATAATATATTTTTCTTGTAAAATTGTCTAAGCTGTGAACTTGTTAGGCCACAACAACATATAACAAATATGATTATTATCGAAGTTCCATGGAACTTGCCAGTTTCTTTTATTTCCCTTGGATCGATCAAGAGCAGTCCCTCCAAACTCCCACCTGTAACAATGCAAATTATCAATTTTCTAGTGTTGATGATCCTAGAAAATTTAGATAGTTCGGTCAGATAATATATATCTATTATTTTATATTATAAAAAAATAACATGATGGAGTAAAGTTTTAAAGATAATGTTAGTAGTATTAAGGAATTTTAAAAATTGAGTTGTGACATGTGCTCCATTTTGCTAAATGTGGATTGATCCCTGCCTTAACATATAATTAAGATGCTTATATTTTTTATACATAAAAAAGGGGTTATTTTGGCTTTCACATAATCACATTCTATCTTGCTTACTTACCTAGGTGGGGGAAAATTTCTTGGTACTATCCTCCAGAAGACAGCATAGACCCACTTGGAAGAAGTAGAAGAATTGGGAAATGAGCATATAGTTCTGAGAGTGTGTTGCAAGAGACAATCAAGGAAGGGCGATCCACTTTCCATTGTCCAAAGAGTGGGGAGAGGGTAGAGAGGAGGCAGAATAAAAAGGCCAAGATGCAAACAATATCAATGGTGCTGGTACCCACTGGTAGCTTGTGGTTGGAGACACCAAGAGAGTCATGCTTCAATATTCAGTTGTAGTTGTAATTTGAGAGTGGGACCTCAACATTTCCCTCTGTGCTTGTTATTGGTGAGGAACATTTATATTTCAAACGAAAATATTGTTTGTATCACTAATGTAGGATATTTTAAGATATACTTTTGCATACTGAGGATATGTTTCTAGAATATATGTATATAATAAAAGTAAAAAGTGAGATAAAAATAATAATATATTATATAAATAATGTTTAAAAAATTCCTTAAAATGGATTGGCAAGAGTTTGATATTTTCATTCACTAGACTTGCATAAAACTGATGGGGTCCCTCCTCTGCCACTTTTCTCTCGCTCAACCTTTTATACCAGCAACTTCAAAGATATTTGCTAAAGAAAAATGTTGAATTTTTACATTATTTTATTTTATACTTTTTTTATTCTTATAAACACATTTTTAAAAGAGAGAAAAGGTTAAAGATAAAAGTTAATTAGTATTTAAAAAAAATACATGTCACTTTTTTTTATGAATAAGAGGATTTATAAACTGACATAATAAATGAATTAACATTTTTCTTTGCTTAAATCTAAAAGACTGCAATTTAACTAATTTATATGTATTTAATAGGTAATTACTATTTATACAAACAGTTATTTCTTATCAAGATATGATACTCACTTATATAAAAACTTTTAATTAGAATAATTACCACATCACCTCTTTAGCTATGTTTGACTACATGTAATAAAATAAAACGTAATGGCATAAAATGAAAAGAAATAGTCATAAGAGACACAATCATAAGAAGATTAGTGAATAATAAATTAATTCTATCTCATTTTATTTTGCATCCTTGAATTGAGAGAAAAATTTAAGACAAATAACTCCGATCTTTTCATATTATTTTAAATAATTCAAAAGTAACAATGATTAATATTATTTAATTTCACTTTATTTTATTTCATCTCTTTATATTGATACTAACATAGTCTTTGAGTCACAAATAGCAAAATACATACTTAAGCTTTTCATTATCTAACACTTCTGATCCCATCTCATTTCCGTGCGGTTTCTTTTCTTTTTCTATTTTTTAAATAAAACATTTAAAAATTAACAATATCACTTATTTTTAGAAATATAAAAAAATAAATTTTAAAAAGAAATACAAAATTATATTATATTTTATATCTAAAAAAATAAAATAAAAACAAAAACAGCCAGTACAAGTAAACTTTCGGTTTTGCACCCACCCAAAAATCCTGTGCAGGAAACATCCCAGTCATCACTGGCCAGCAAAGGCAAATTTGGGTGCTGGAAAAAGGAGCATGACCATGAATAGAAGACGATGGTTCCTTTAATGTGTGCTGGACCAGGCTAAATAAACAACGTGTGGACAATGCACCCCATCATTGGGGCTGGGAAAGTAAATGGACTGGCCCAAAACCCTACCCAACCACCTATTATTTGCTGTGTCCATTCCATTGTTCTTCACTTACTCACTCTATTATTTCCTTATCTATATTTCAACATCTGTAACGTACCAATACCAATACCAATTGACAACTCATGTTTGGTAAAACAATTATGAATTTAATTAAAATATATCACTGATGTAAAATTTTTACTTTTTTATCTTACTTTTTTAGTTGTCTTATAATTCGATTACCGTCATAACTTGTAGGTCTTTCGATGTATACTTTTACTATACAGTGCCATCCACCCAAATAAAGGTAGAGTAGTTGCAAAAATATTTACAGTTTTTTTTTAAGTTCATTAAAGAAATATTTAAAAGTATATTATTTAATATTAATACACTAAAATTCAGAATATATTATTTCTTTGATAAAAATTATTATACAAATTTTTATCATCAATTCTTAAATACACATTAAAAGAATTAAGTATTTTAATAAAATAATAGTTTGTAAAAAAAGAGTACATCAAATAGGATAAGAAGTGTCCTTTTATAGGTTTAAATATAACTTTGTTATCTTTTATTAAAAGAAAAAAACAAATAAATAAACTCTCGTGCTTATAAATGCCACGTAAATTATTTTTTGAGATTATAAATGAGTTTATTAATTTTTAATTTTATTTTATTTTGTTAAAGTATGATGGTAAGTGATGTTAGAAATGACTGATATAATCAAAAGGAAAGGTTAGTTTTTTTTAGGTATATAAAAAAGTCATGGTAACACCCATTGAGAGAGAGAAAAGAAAGTTGGAGTGACACTAATCATGAAGTAATAAAATAGTTTTGACTAGATTAATTGACTTAAACATTACTTAACATAACACTCCAACAAAAATTAGCATTGTTATAATAATAATAAAAATTATTAAACTAAAATATCTAACATTTAATAAAATCAAAGATTAATAAATTTATTATAAAATTTTAAAGATCAATTTATCCAATGATAGTATATTAAAAAATTGAATGATATGAGTATTTAGAGTTAAAATAAAATAAAATATATGGATTAAATTAAAAATATTTTAAAGTGAGAATAATACAAAAAACATAAAATGTAAAAAAAACATAAAATGAATAAAAAATTCAAACAATTACTCTATTTTATTATATTTCATCTTTTTTTACTATAAAAAAAAACATAAAATGAATAAAAAACATAAACGTTTGAAGTATACCATATTACCGTCAGAAAGCACAGCAGCACCACCGCAAGGCCCACCAAAACTCAACGACCACCGTTCAGAACTTCCAAAACAATTTTCTTAGAATTTACAAGTCATTATTTATTTATTTATTTATCCTGACGTGTGATTTTCTAATTGGTTATGTCTAAAAGTGACGTGTTGGGTACGTGTACATTAACTCGGGTTTGGTTTATAGTTGGTGAAAGAAAGAATCGAATTGAGATCGAGCAATGGAATATCTAGGGATTGATCTGAGTTGTGCATTGGGATCTCTCCGCCATGGCCAATTCCCCGACAAGGATTGCTTGCTACCTCTCATTTCTAAACTCCTCGGCTACGCCATCGTCGCGGCTTCCACCACCGTCAAACTCCCCCAGGCACTTCCCTTATCGAACCTTGATTTCTTTGTCCAATCGTTAAATACTGTGTGTCTGTGTTAGGGTTAGGGTTTTGTTCTAATTTTGACGAAATTTTGCGAATGATGTTAATGTTCAGATATTGAAAATTCTGAAGCATCAAAGTGCGAGAGGCCTTAGTATGATATCGTTCGAGCTTGAAGTTGTTGGCTACACCATAGCGTTGGCTTATTGTCTTCACAAAGGCCTTCCGTTTTCCGCTTATGGAGAGTTGTTGTTTCTTTTGATCCAAGGTGCACTAACAGTTTCTATGTGTGTGCGTTTTTTTTTTTTCTTTTTGGTACTTACTGAGGTGAAGGTGTGGGAATTAAATAGTTGTGGATTAAAATCTTTATTGAGCTTTAAGCCATGTGTATAAACTAGTTTATACCAGTGATGTATTCAGAATTCTGTGTATTTATTTCTTAAGTCCAAAATTTGAACTTCATTGTAATATAGTTTATTAATTATTAATTTAGGGTAGGTTCGGATAATTGCTTATTTAAGTTCTTATTTAATAAATTCCTTTTAAAACGATGACTTATGTCATAGTCTCATAGATTTAATAATAAAACATATTGGGATAAGCTAAAAACAACTTATTTGAATAAGCTATATCAAGAAGTTTATTGAAATAAGCTGAAAAACAACTTATGATTCTCCTATGCTGTTTATAAGCTCTCTTGAACGGACCCTTATTATGTTAACTAGTTAAAGTAAAACAACGAATGTCCATGGGCTATACCATCGAGTTTGCTTTTGTCAACCGTACCAGTTTTTTTTTTTTTTTTGGGGTCCCTACTTACACCTACATCTGCCTTTGGGTATGCAGTATGCTTGACATTTGATACTCATAAATCAGCACTTGCCTAAGTTTCACAATATGAGTCTAACAGATGATTTGGACCTGGGATAAACAAAATTATCATGTTTGTTTTAGAAATATGTTATTAACCTTTGTTTTGTGATGCAGGAGCAGTACAAAAGAGAATAGTTATTAGCAGGGTTATCGTTGTAACTCTAGATATTTTATCTTTGCACTTTTTGGTTTTGGCCTTTCGGTAGTATTTTTAAAGTCATATTGATGTTTAGTACGAGTTGTGGTGCCTTACATGTAAGGCCAAAATTATTCTTTATGGGCTTGGGTTATTAGTATCAAGGATTACATTGTCGGAGTTGTTTTTCTGTTGGTTGTCCCAAGAAAGATATATTTTACAAATTGTAATTGGAATTCCTAAGTGATGTAGGATGGACGATCACAAAATCTGGTTGGTATTAGCTTGCACCATAAAGCTAAACATGCCTTTATACAGAGATCTTTTTCTTAAATATTGAATCCAAAATTATTATTATTATTATTATTCATGAACTCTTTCCTGGTTTTTTACACCAGAAGAGCCAATCCATTAGCTGTGTTTGAATCTTTCTTCTCAAACCTTCTCTATTGCTTGGTAGAATCCAATCTAGACTTTTTTGTCCTACATCATTTATTAATTTTGACTAATTTTACACACTGTTTGCGATATTCTGAAATAAGTACTTGCATGAGCATCATAGGCTTTAGATCATTCAACTTGTACAGCTCTATATTTTGTTAGGTGAGGCAATGTAGTGATTCCATTTTGTTGAAGTTATCTAAATTACTTCATCCTTTCTATTTTCTGATACAGCTATAGTATTGGTTGCCGTAATCTACTACTATTCTAGACCTGTGAGTACGACAACATGGATCCGAGCATTGCTGTATCCTACTTGCTTGCAGAAGAACTGGGTTTTTATTCTTGCATTATGCAATATAATTGAATATTCTCGATCATTTCCTTGATGCATTGGTCTTCAGATATTGTGCTGTAGCACCCACTGTCTTAGCTGGTCAAATTGATCCTCTACTCTTTGAGGCTCTGTATGTGAGTAACAACTTTATGTTCAACATACATTCACTTATGCTGCCAAAAGTTTTCTACCATTGAGTTTTTCATGAAACCCAAGAGTTTAAGATGATAGGTGAAGACACTTGAATGATTTTATATTATATTTATAACATGCCTCCTCATGCAATATCCCTTTGGGCTTGAAGTGTGGACAATGCACGGGCGTATCTGCCTTGTGGTGTAATTAAACTTTGTTTATTAGAAGAAGGGCAGTAAGGATCAAACACTAGACTAGTATACAGAACTTGCCCTTGGTCATAGTCTCATAGAGGCTTCGATATCATTTCATGTACCATTTCAAAAGCTTAAGCTGTTAGGTGAAAGCCACAAGTGGTTTTATATTCTTTTTTCTAACAGAATTTTATTTTCTTTTTTGTGCTGATGAGCGTTTTAGCCTTCATTTTATAAATATATTTATGTTGGTTACAAGGTTCTCATTGCCTAATATTTTTTTTATGCGGATATAATCTATTGCAGGCATCCCAGCATGCAATCTTTCTCTTTGCAAGGATCCCACAAATATGGCAAAACTTTTCTGTAAGTGGAAACATAAAAACCTGTTCTGTGCTCCTTCCATATTGAAGAAAAATTCTTAGTTTTCATGAAATTTATAAACTTATTTGTTTTGTAGTACTTACATATATAATATTGATTCTCCAGTCAGAATGGGTACTTATTTCCTCTTTGCGAAAGAGTAAATGGGTTCTTTCATTGTATTCTAGATGATGATGTGCTTGAAGCTAAATATATAATAGGAACTTGGTTTCTGAGTATGCTATATTGCCACCCTACCTGCATTTTTGTGAAAACTTGGAGCTTTTGCTGCTTGTGTAGTGAAAAGCTAGGATGCTTTGAACTCTGTTGATGTGATTATGCTGAATTTTTCATATTATGCTTTTACATTCCTTATTATTTTTTGCCTAAAATTTTTCAATTGATGAAGTATGTTGACACTTTGTTTCACCATTCTTATTGATCATTGGCAATTTACTATGTTTGAGCAGAACAAAAGTACTGGGGAACTCAGCTTCTTAACTTCTTTTATGAATTTTGGAGGTTCAATGGGTAAGCCATTATGATTTCAATAAATTTAGGTTACAGTTTCTGCTTGTTTAATAATATTTTAGTTTATATTTGTTGCAGTCAGAGTGTTCACCACCATCCAAGAAAATGCACCAAAAAGTGGTAGGTTGCTTCTTAATCTGTTTTGAATTTAGGAGAGTTTATAGAAGGTTGGAGTGAAGCTAATGGCTAATGGTAGTTTAATTGGCACAGGGGGAAGAACAATAGTCTGCTGTCCATGCTTTTTATTTATTTTGTGGGGGCAGGGAGTTTTAATGCTTTGATGTTTGGCAATAGAGAAAAATGGTATATATGTTGAAGTGGTTTACATCAAAACAAGTCTTTTAAAACATTAGTTTTAAGAAAATGGTTCTAAACACTATTTTCTCATGCACATATTTTCCTTCTTGAATGAAACTTTTATTAAATCAAGAGACAAACAAATAAACCATTGTTTGTAGCTAAAGACTAAAGGTGAAACACATTTTGTGGAGTGTTTGGATTTGGATCTTCTTTTTCACATAACATTGTTATTTTTATACAAAGACCAACAATTATATTGCAAGATTTACTTGCGCAATAAATTGTTGATATATATATATATAGAGGTAGAATCTTCTTACACTAGTGTAAGTTTATAAATTTTTATACTCGATTTGAGCTTTTTCTTTAATTTACATCTAACAAGTTATAATTTATTACTTTACTAACTATTATATGTAAGTTAAATGAAGATCTCAAATTGAGTGTAAGAATTTTTAGATTTATATTAATGTGAAAAAATTCTCTCATATATATATATATATATATATATATATATATATATATATATATATTCTCTCTGGAAGACCGTACACTGATTTTCAAGAGGATTAGTCTATGGAGAACTCTACTGCTGTACATTATATTGTAGATGCATTATAAAATATGATATAAAATAATAGAATGTAGATTTCTGGAATGATCTAATGAACTCTTCAGAACTGGAACACTACTCTATAGACTTGCTTTGTTTTTCTTATGCCTAAGGAGCAGAAGATTCAAATTTCTTGTTTTAATGCTTGTATGTACTTGCTTAAATGTTGTTTTATGATGTAAAATCCTAATACATGGCAAGAAAATGGTGACTTTTCAATAATTTCCTCTTTAAAAAGTGTTGCTAATATTGAAAGCCACCTACATAATTTTTCCATTATTTTGTCTATGAAAATAAATTTATTCTGCTAAGTTATTACTGTGCTATGTCAAAACTGAACTTTCGTGAAAATAATCTTGTCTTCCATCCTCAACCCGATACTTGTAAAATACTGTCCGTTTCAAAGTCAATGACTTGTGTCTCTATAGCAGTGTTTTCCATTGTACATGTATTTCCTGATTATTTCATATAATTGTGACTGTTTCCTTGATTCTTTTGAAGTTCTATTGGGCTATGCAATTGGTGTCGCAACAAATTTTACCATCTTGAGTCAGATAGTTATATACCAAAAGCCTCGGGCTGAAAAAGAGAAGAAAATGAAGTAGTAGAACTATTTTGGGTTGTGTATATCTTTTCATCCTGGTCAACTCTCAATAGATACGCTGCATCCAATCCGTACGTAGAATTTTATGGTCTTGAGTTGACTCATTGAGTTTCAAATGGGTGGACAATCTTAAGGTAGTCAGCAGTGCAAAAGAAATAGGTGATTATTGTCATTTTTTATTGGAACCCCGAGACTCTTGGGCTTAATTATTTTGTCATCGTCTGTCGAGCTAGAATTTAAAGGGTGCCTGCGGTTTCTTTGTAAGAATCACTTTTCATGATTGTAAGGCTCAGTCCTACTTTTTTTATTTTTTATAACCATAAAATGTTGAGTAGAGGAAAACTCGATGGTTTTTCACCCTGGTCTTAATATGTAACATTAATTTGCCTTGAGATTTCATATTTTTTCCCCTTTCTCTCGAATTGGAAGGCACATGCACTCAAGTTGACATGGTCCGCAGTCACCTTTCCAAACTGTGATGGCCAATCGTCTTGGGAAATATAACATTTGCATTTACCAGATTGTAAATTTTATAATTTTCACTTTTCCTGGCCAATCCATAAGAATGGCGATGCGACGTATTTTTGCTCATTCAAGCTTGCTTGCTTCCCTTGTGGCAATCTTTCATCCAAACTCTGAAATGGCTATTTTGTCTAAAGGCAATTATACATTTTTTTTTTCATTGCTTTTCTTATAGTTAAAAATTCTCTAATTAACTTACATGGGAACTCTTTTTTTGTACTTTCCTTCATTTGAAAATGAGATAATTACATATACCTAAAGCTCTTCTTGCTTTGAAGTTTTTAAGGATATTGTTTATAACCACTGTAAAGATCAGTATGCATATATTTTTTTTAAAAAGTGTCAACGTGTAATAATAAATAGAAGAGTTAGCTAATTATACTTTCTCAATAAAAAAATTAAGTGTAATTATTAATAATTTTGGGTAAAATTATTCTTTTTGTCTGGTAATTTTAGAATAAAATTTGTTTTTATCTTCTAATTTTTTCTTTAATTCAATTTAATCCTCTAAGTTTTGTTTTGTTTTTTTTTTTTATGTTATTTCTTTCTATGAATTTTCTAATTCTGTTAGAGAATGTAATAAAGGTATCCTATGTGGTACTAACAACATTTATTTAATTCTATTTAAAAATTTTATTTGAAAATCAATTAAAAAATGTTACATTAGGTGTTTTCTCTATTCATACGAGTTAGGACATATAAATTAGGATTTTACGTCTCCTAAAAACAACAAAATAAAGATTAGAACTTTCATGAACTCACAATTTTCGATGACGTATGCTTGCAGAGGGGTTGTGCATTAATTTTGTTATTATGGTGTGAAGAATGATTATTGTATAATAACTACAATAACAAATATAGGAATGAGTTTTTGGGGATGTAAAAATTATGAAGTAATTTTATAAGATTAAATAATTGAGTTTTATATTTGTGTATAATAATTTAAACTAATTTGTGTTACTAATCTATTATGCCATTTTTCAGTTTGGTGAGAGTTGTGGGTTTTTCAAGTGGAGGAAAGACGATGAAATTGAAGATAATGGAATTGTTGTACTGAGGCAAAGGAGAAGAATTGTGCATCTTCAGAACTCACTCAAAATTATCAAGAAAGAGATTAATATTTTAAATTGTATTTTAAGTATTGGTGTGATTATTAATGTATTAGTAGTAATATTATTTTTCACGTTGTTTAGCTGAACACTAATATTTTTTAGAGATGTAATTTTTGTAAATGTACTATAAAAGAGTACTTTGATTAAGTCATGATCCTGATGTTGTGTTATTGTTTATATATATATATATATATAGATTCTTCTATCTTTAATGAAATAATATTTTTAGTATATGTATTATTTTGAAATATGAATGTGAGAATAAGAAATTTTTACTGAGACTGAGAATAAAGATTGATTAATATACTGTTATGACATTAACAAAAGAACAAGGACAAAATACAAGTTACACAGAATATGCTTTCCAACCAAATTGCACAAATGTAAAGCAAAAAGAAAAAAGTTATTGTCCCTACTCCACATTTGCTGCAAAGACTAATTAAGTATGTTGACGTCTTTGAGCACACATTTTGCTTCTTGTTTGACCAATCAATTGAAACTTAAGAAATGTCTAAACTTTGAGTGTGAGTTGTTGATGCCTCTTTTTTAGTAGGCTGTGTTACTTTGCAAGTAACTTTGTTATGGCCACTTACTCTACATTTGTTGCATTTAATAGTCATTTCTTTCCTACCCAATTTGTTTCCTTCAACAACCTTCTCAGATGCATCTTTATTTCTTGACTTCTTTGACCTCCCAGGTTGTTTCTTGATTAGTAGGAGTAAAATGTCAGGGTAGTCAACAAATTCTCACAAATTAGGTATGTGCTGGATATATGATAGACTTGTAAACTACTGCATAATATTATTTCCTATAATAAAAGGAATATAATTTGCAGGATTAATATTAACATAGTTCATGGTAGTAATTGAATGATAACAAGGTATTTCAGTAAGCATCCATAATCTGTAAGAATATTCTTTTAGGTTCAAGGTTCACCATAAACTTATCTCCCTTTAAATTAATATGTCGGACCTCGAATATATGTCATCCATACCACCTTGTAAAATTAAAAATAAGTGTAAGTTGTAATATGGGATATAGTAAAAGACTACTATAGTTGATTGTAAAATAGTTAAAAGACTAAAATAAATTAATTTGAAATAGTTAAAGGACTAAAATGATTTATTTTAAACAATTTGAGGATTGAAATGAACCTAATTTAAATCTTAGATAACTAAAATGAACCATATTAAAAAGTTAAAGTATCATAAAAGTTATACCTTGACAATTACCAACTTGATTCATCTTGATATTTGTGTAACTTTTTTTTTTTGTATATTTGACAGTATGTCTCTAGTCAACATTGTTGCCTTTTTTCTATTGGCAACCCACTTTTCCATTAAATAAACCCTTATGTCTTCCATTATAGTAACAATGGACTTTTTTTTAGGTCCTAGAATAACACTATTAAAGGTTTCAGACATGTTTACAACTATATCAATCTTAGATTAGAAAGAAAACATTGACTTGCTCCAATATTTTGGAGGAAATTTTAAGAGATGCTCGAATGCTTCTTCATTGATGTTCCTCATTTCTTTCATATGTTTTTCCCATTCTTATGGATAAGTTGCTTTTGCTGCCTTCAACATAAACTCTTTTAATTATTTATCTAGATATATCTTTATGATATTATTATACAAGTGCTAGACACAGAACTTTTATTCTATTCTAGGCAACAACTTCTTAATAGTTGGCAATGATCCTTAAAATATGAAATATTTAGTGTCCTATCAATAAGTTAACCATCATATAATGAATTTAGTAAAAAGAATCATGAGGTGCAATGGTCATACTCTCTGTTGGTAAACATAAAGGTCACTGTGTTACATACTCCTACACCTCCTAAATAAAAAATAAGTAGGTGTAAAAACTATTGTCACGAGTCCTTATTTTCACCTTTAACAAAGCAACTGCTAATGGCAACATTTGCTCATTAGGATCCTTACCTACAATAGCCAAAATTTGTCCACAATAATATCTTTTCAAAAAACAGTCATCCAATCCTATGATTAGTCTACACATTAAAAAACTCTCCTTGCAAGCTTGAAAACAAACATATAGTCTATGAAAAGTGGAGAAAAGTTATCTTGGGACAATTTCACCTTGCTCAATTGCATGACTAATTTGTTCAACTATCAACTTTATAGTTGAACCAGGATTTGACCTTAACATCTCATGACAATAATTATATAACCTTTTATATTGCTCTTTAAAAATCCCATCACCAAGGTCGATTGCTTTCCTCCTTGCTCTTTGTGTTGTTGACTTACTTACTCCAATATTTCACTTTTTTTATATTTTCTTTTTAATGTCATTAACCTTTTATGTTGGGATTTTTTCTTACACTATCTTGTAATTTTTAACTCAACTAAGCTAAATTTAACATCTTCACCCTATACTATTTGTTAAATGTGTGTTAATCAATAATTCTTCTCAATTACCAAGTGTCTTCTCTCGATAACTTTTCAATTACCAAGTGTCTTCTCTCGATAACTTGACATAGAATGCCATCTATTTGCATTCACCTTTATATATCACTCTCACTCTTTAATTATCATTCTTTTGAATCATTAAGTTTCTACCAGAATAAATAACATATGTCTTTACAACTTCTTTAAAATATTCTCTGGATGCAAATAATGTTCCTATTCTCCATTTGTAATGAGTCATTTTTTATGGCAACTTAAATAATTTAAAGTTGTTTCTATCTTTCTCCTCATCAGAATCTACATCAGTCTTCAATCCCTCACTGTTGTAATCCTCATCAACATCAAAAGAGTTATTGCTTGCAACAAATGTCATTGGACTAGCAAAAGTAAAACCAACCTCAAATTGGGATTGAACTTCAAAGTTTTCATAAGAACTGAAATCAATATAAAACTCAATAGGAGTTGTTATTTTCCTTTTTTCTCACTTGTTCTAGTTATTGTTTTTTTTATTTGTACTTGTTGTTTTGCCTTTTTTTTTTCTCACTTATTCTTGCTATTTTGCTTGTTTTCTTCTCATTTGGTCTTGCTGTTTTGCTCTTTTTCTTTTTCTTTTACTTATTCTTGATGTTTTGGCAGGCAATTTCTCTATTTTTTTTTGTCCTTTTTTCTGACTCAATTTATTTTTCTTTTTGCAGACAATTTTTTCTTTCTTTGCTTGGTCTTAATCTCCCTGTTCCATATAAACCTCTTTATCTTCTATATGCCTCTCTTCCTCTTCCACATGTCTCTCTTCTTTTTTCACTTGAACCTCTTCTTGTTCTACTTCAACCTTATCATTCACTTTGAATTTTTTTTTTTTTGCTACTTATTCTCCAAGACCCATCTCCTCAACTTAAACCCCATCAACATTCATGGGATATTCAAGTAATGAAACATTCATACATATCTCAGCTTGTGAAACTACATGTACTATATACAACTTCACTTTTCCATAACACTTCGACACTGTGGCCATCTCCACAGCTCCTTTATCATTTTTTAGTTCCTTATGTCTTTGAGCTCATCTGGATCTGATAAGGCCAACATTAAGACCTTTTTCACCAATCTTGTACCACATATTATCAACTACATCATATTCCAACTCACGTACCCTATCCAAACACTCAAATAAGTTTTTCAAACTTTTCAAACTTACCACCATGATGAACTTCAATGAAGAATTTATCCATTTTCTATTACTCAAAAAAGTTAATAACAACAAAATCTAAATTTTAGAAAGATGAAATCTTTCAAATATTCAACAATGTCCTAACTCCTATAATATCACAAAAACACAAAAATAAAATAAAATAATATACCCAACGCATGCAGAGAATAAATTTTAGAAATAGAAACATACCTTGTAACATTGATATTCGATTCTACTTCAAATTTTTAACCTTTTTTCAATAAGAAACCGTGATAACCCTTGATAAATCGAAACACTTTGC